CTACAGGTGAATATAATGGATAGTTTAGAAAAAGTCCCCTTAGTAATTCCAAAAGTGCCTAGGTTCAATGGGAATTCTGTTGTCTCATGGCAGAAACCTCAACCATGTGTGCTGGGCGGTATGAATGAAGTCACACACATGAAATCTTGGTTGCTTCGGGCATATGTGTCCAGAGGCTAGAGGATTCACGCGAAGCTTCTTAATGAGTGAAAAGTGATGTTTTGTTATTATATTAATAGAGTATTAAGCATGAACTCCCCTCTCCCCTTGCCTCATCTCTTGGTCCCCTTCCACTTATGTGTCTTATTTACTACCAAGTATTGCTAGTACGTACATCTTGTTTTTATTAATGTTTCTTCACTATTGGTAGCCACTGGCAAGTCAGTTCAAATATTGGAATCAGCATGACAAGTCTCACATACACAGACATCTGCATAAAAACTTGAGGATGCAGTTGTAGGGGAAAGATTTCAGTTATCAATTGATTACATTTTGGGAGAATTAACATGTTTATACTATTGTTTTCTCTATTAACATATATTTCTCTGATTAGTTGGATGTTTAGTAATTCACTTCCATATAGTTGTTTCATTGTTCCATAGAGTTCATATAATTGTCATACTACTTATTATTAGACATAAGGTTTCTTTTTTTGTAATTTGAAAAATACGGAACGCTTCACAAATGTGCGCGTCATCCTTGGGCAGGGGCCATGCTAATCTTCTCTGTATCATTCCAATTTTAGTATATGTGCTGCCAGAGCGAGGACGGCATAAGGTTTCTATCATAGTAGTTAACAAGTTAGGTTCTATTATTTTCTTTTGTATACTATGTGCTGCTACAGAAAAATGTACTTTTTTAATATACTGAACTAATATATGACCTAACAACTTTCAAATTGCTTTTATTGCATCAATAATTTTTTTTAGGTTTTCTTGGTTTACACACTATTCTTTTTTCCCCCCCCCATTAACTTTATTGGTACATTTTAGCTATACAATACAGTTACATTCATCATTGGGATCTTGTACCATCACATGAGTCTCTTGGTGCTTATTTTTTTTCCCCTTCCCTTGCCCTCCCTTCACCCCCTCCACCCTTCCCTATTTTCAAAGACCTTGTATCAATTTGAATAGCACCTATTAAAGAAAGTATATTCCTAGGTTGAAAACCTACCTATATGACAACAGCAGGCTCATATACATTTTAACTGATAAATTATGTCAAACAATTAAAGCAGAAAAAAGAAGGAACACTTCTCCCCTCAATTTAGGAACGCAACATTGTGCTAATCCTAAAACTGGATAAAGATAATAGAAGAAAAAGTATGAACATAGATAGAAATTTGTTTAACAAAACAAACACTTAGAAGTCAGATCTGGCAGGATGTAGAAAGTGGTTTTGTTAAAAGAATGGCAGTGCTGGTTCAGCATTGGAAGATCCACCCCCAAAGGTCATC